TATGGTTCATTGAGAAGAGGAAGAGAAGGGAATGAAAGAGACATCGTTTAAGGGCCTGTTTGGTTTGAGGAGAGGGTAGGGGAAGGAGGGAAGGGCAGGGTGAGGGAAGGTGGGGGAGGTTTTAACCTTACCTTATTTGGTTTGGTTAAAGAGGAGGGGAGGAAGGATATTTAATGATCCCTTATTTGGTTCAGGAGGAGGAGGGAGGATAATAATAATCAATATACCATTTTATCCTTATTCTAGTTTATATCTTTATTTATATGTTATATAAATTAATTCATACTTTATTTTAAATACATAACTTTGAAAATTCAGTTAAATCATGTTATGTATGGATAAAAAAACTGATATAACATTTTTTTTTATATTAATATAATAATATTTTAAAACAAATTAATTAACATATTTTAATTTTTTCACCAAAAAAAACGAAGCTTTCATATATATCTTAATTGATAAAATAATATATTTGAAGACAATCAAACTGCTGGCAAAAAGGGAAAAAGAAAAAAAAGAGGAAAATCAAACTGTAAAGACCCATGAAAATATTAGAGCTGGAAGAAGATGATGCATGGTTGCGTGTTGCGAGACGAAGGAGGGAGAAGGCAAAGATGTAATGATTGGCAAAATGGATAGCACCATTCCTATTCCATTATTTACTTCCTCCCCAAAACTGACGTTTAACTCCTCTTCCTTTGTTTCCTCTTTCTTCCACCATCACCACCATCCCCTTCTCTCTCTCTCCCAACACCTCCTCCTCCAACTCCATAACCATCTTGTTGCTGGTCACTTCTGCCAAGCAACTAAAGAGACTTGCCACCGACAAAACTGCTGCTTGCTCATCATTTTCATGGGTGATGCTGCTCAAGAAGACAAGAAAGAAGAGAAAAGGCAGGAGACTGACATACCAAATTGGTCAGAAAAATTTGGCTTCCCTCCAAAAACACCCCAATTTGGAAGGGACCAAGATGAGGGTAATGAGGGGAGGGGAAGGGAGGAGATTTTGGCTCTCCTCCCCTCCAAACTTTCAACCAAATGAGGGGAGCTCATTTTCCCTCCCCCACCCTCCCTTCCAACCAAACACACCCTAAGCCAAGAGTAAAATAGTAAAGGGTGTGTTGTTTTTCAAATAAGTCATAAACATTTAATAAAATTTTAGAAGGAATAGTGTTAATGACCAATAGGTGGGATAATATAGATAGGATTGGAGAGAGTACTTTGGATTGATTATCTAGAGATTATGAGTTGATCTTGTAAGTCAATTAGCCCATTCGTTTGTTCTATAGTGCACCAGGAAAGATGTTCTAATCCTTCATTGAGTAATCCTTAAAAATATTGTTCAAATTCTTTACTTCAGTGAAATTAACTGAATCATGGCAATGGCCCCAACCGCGTTCCTCATCTCTCATGGCAATTCTGACTGTATTTATTCTTATTTGTAATTCAAAAGAACGTTTTATAATTGAAATGGAGGGAGTGTGTTGGTCTATCTGGTGCTGAGAGGGGAGTACAGTTTGTTCTTTTAAAAATTAAATAAAAGCATTTACTTCAACACCATTAGATCTCAATGTAATGGTTAATATTTCTTAATTGTGGAAAGGCCTCTACTTCAACACTTCCATTGGATCTCAATGTAATGGTTATTTCTTAATTGAGGGGATCCACATCCCTACCAATGAACTTGGGTCATTAGTTGGTCCAAAGGGAAAAAGACCAAGAAGCACTTGTATTATTTGTAAAGGGCAGGGAGACAAAAGGGGGTTTAAAAATTTTATTTTCTTTTTGGACCAAAAGTGGTTGGTTTGCATATTTTAAAATTATTTCTTTTTTTTTTACGAGACATTGTTTAGTGTAGGGTTTTTAGGTACGTGATTATGTAAATAAAAAACTTATAAGGACTTAATTTGAGTTTGAGTATATGGACTAAAGTCAAAATTCATTAAAAATATATAAATTATTGGTTAAATTCAGGCTAAACCATAAGGATTAGAATTAAGAATTTGAATCTATAAGGGTGAAAACTAAATTTGATCAAACTATAAGAATTGAGGCAACCAATATATTTTTACTTAAAATTTCTGTAGAAATAAATAATTAACATCTTATATATTGTAAAATGCAGGCCTTTTTTTTTTTTTTTAACAAATATACTATAAACAGTAAAAGAAAATACTGAAACGTTATGTGATAAGAGGTATTTACCAAAATACTATATCAGAAATTGTTTATTAAGTGATCAATTATAAAATGATTAATGAATGCCTTGAAGAATGATTACTTCAACAAAAATTGTTTGTTGGCTGAACGATTTGCAAACTTCATCACTTGAACAAGTTCTCCAATATCTTCCACCACCAACGTCTCTCCCTAATAAATGAAAATAAAATGATTTAGATAATGTCTTAGTAATCATATGAATGAAAAGTTATGAGTAAATAATTGGAGGAAAGTGTTCATAATTACATAATAATGCTAATAATGATTATAGAATTAGTATGAGATGTATTAATTAGAAATTGATTAATGAAATATAAGTAATGATGAGCACTGAGGATAACGAGTTAGACAATATAGATAGCACGTTAAGTGAGAAACAAAGAGCGCAACTTGGTTGCTTCACACATTAGATTGGTGTCTAACATTTTGGGCAAGGTGAAGTCTCAGTCCCTAACAAACTTATTAGTTGGGATAATGTGTTCCATGTGGGATAACACATTAAACAACAGGATGGCCACTACTAGATTTGAACATATGGTGTTTAATAGTGTGTTAACTCAAAATCTGGGAGAGGATCATGTGTTCAATTTAATTGTCCTTAAAATTTGTTCTTTTTAAAGAAGGGGGCTTCAAAATTCAACTCCTAAACCTAAAAATTTATTAGAAATGGGTAAAGATTCATCAACACCGTGATTTTATTTTCTAGGTACATCTAGGATTTTTGTTTTATTATAATATTACTTCCGGTCCTAATTATAAGACATTCTCTATAATCTACAAATAAGGTTTTATAATTAGGATTGGAGGTAGTATATCTAACACCTTAATTTTATTTATAGTATATTTAGTAGCTTAATCTTATTTATAATACATTCAATATACTAATGTAGCTAAACAAATAATATCAAGACGCTCAATGTACCAGGAAAATAAAATCAGGGTATTTGATTCACCTTTACCCATTAGAAAATTGTCACTTCAGATTATAAAATGCTCTGTTTTTTACCCCTACCCAATAGCGGTTATGTGTGAGCCGTGAATATTTGTTGCCATACACTCGGGTTCATGTCTTTTTCATAGACACTTGCCATGCCCGCAGGATTGCTTAGTACTAGTTTTAAGACTTTCCTGCCTCGGTTTGGTATCATATATACGTTTTATTTTCCTTGGGGGGGGGGGGGGGGTTCATAGAAGTATCTAATGTAAGGGGTTCAGCAAAAATAAAAAGAATTAAAGTTCATGTCTTTGTCATCCACTTGATAAACTACCTATTTAACCAAAGCCAATATAACTCAATAATTACGATGGATCCGTGTCAAAACTTTACACCAAATTCTGATAGACTAATGGCTGCTAAATTAGGGAAAAGCCAGAGTGACCTAGTCAGAGGCAAATATAAAAGTCATACTAATCCATGTTCAAATACTAAACATAGAATCTGATCAAAAAACATTCCTACTCATAGAAGTTTAATTCCACACATCTTCTTACCGAATATTATATGGACTTATATAATAGAGAAAAGACAGCATTCATATAATATAATACTTTTTTTATATTCGTTTTTTATTATTTTTCTTACTAACTACTACCTGGTTCTTAATATAAGATACAGTTAACTAATTTAAAAAAATTAAGCAAGAAAATTACTAAATTATTTAAATATAAGATATGTTATATGATCTTTCTAAAATACTTATATGTATTATTAGACTATATCTCAATTTATAAGTAAAACAAATTAGTTTGGAGAAAAAATGATAAATATAAATGCTTTAAAGTAATTAAGTAATTTTCTTAATTTTCTCAAATTAATCAGTTAGGTCCTATATGAAGGACCGAAGATAGTAATATGATGCTTGATATAAGAATTACTTAACTTGTTTGGAGAAATTTAAGAAATCTATATATGTTACCTAATTTTAACAAATATGACATGATCTCTTCAAAATATCCTTATGTACATTAGATTATACTCCTTCCAATCCAAAATATAAAACATCGAATAACTAAATTATACTATTCAACAAGTTGTTAAAGTTGGTTAAAGACGATAAATATGTACTCATCTAGTTCTTAATGTAGGATCTAATTGGAAAGTTGATATTGGTCCTATATGTAAAATTTACTTCATATTTACTCCAAATTAACCCTATTAATATTCTCAACAATAATGAAATAGAAGAGATAGGGAAAAAAATTAAGAGGATGCTTAGAGGGTTTTAGAAAAAACATATTATAATAACTAATTTAACTAACATCCTTAATATACTAAAATTAGTTAATTAGGTAGGTAAAAAAAATCAATTTTTTCCTAAAACATCCTTATTTATGGAGAGGGTAAGTGGGAGAAAGAATGAGTGGGAAAAAAAGATGAGAGAATGAATGAAAAAAAAAAAAAAAGATGAGAGAAACATATAATTAATTAGAGGTAAAAATGAAAAAAATGCATTAAATGATTAAACAAATTCAAATTGACACTTGTTAAAAAAATCCATGCTTATATTTTCAACTAAAGAGAGTATATTAGTTTATAAGTTAGAAAAATTAGTTTAAGAAAAAATATAAATATTAAATATTAAATGAATTAAGATTTTACATTTACACTTAAAACAGAGCACATTAACTAATTCCTAAAGATTATATAATACCAAACATAGTTGAAAAGTTATGTGTACAAACAATTTGACATGTCATCATTTCACCTAAACAAATCTGAGGAGCCAGTTTACCATATAAAGTAGGATTAGGATTTTATCGCCAAAAGACAGAACAGGAAATGAATGTAATAGTAGCAAGATCCATTATTGCATAACAAAAGGTAGTCTTTGTACCTTACAACATATCAAAAATCAAAATTACTGCTACACGAAACTACTCTCTTATTTTTAGCACCAAACCTCTCAAGGGCTCTCTCTGGTTGGTTGCAGGAGAATATGGATCCTCACTTATCAAACAAACAAGAATCCCCCGCATTACGATCACCCTAACATATAACAATACCTCTGTAGCTTATTAACCCAGAAATAATAATAGTAATAACAGTAAAACAATAAAGCTGTAGCATATAATTGAGGATTAGAAACTAGCATAATCTAAATAACGTAGTCAGACCACTCAGAAATATGTGAAGTATGATCCATAGTGAAACTTGGAATCTTGTCCAGCCTTACAGGATTAGCCTTCCCTCCTATCAATCTAGCTGGGTTTCCAACTGCAGTAGTCATTGGAGGCACATCTTTCAGAACTACGGAACCAGCACCAATCTTAGCACCTTCACCAATCCTTATGTTCCCCAAAATGCAAGTTCCAGCGCCTATAAGAACTCCATCACCAATCTTGGGATGTCTATCTCCTGAAGCTTTCCCAGTTCCTCCCAATGTCACATTATGCAGAATTGACACATTGTTGCCTATTACCGCAGTTTCTCCTACTACCAATCCTGTTGCGTGATCTAGCAAAATCCCCCTTCCAATTTGTGCTCCTGGATGGATATCTACAGCGAATATCTCAGAAACTCTGTTCTGAATCAGAAGGGCTAACATGTTTCTTGCTTCAGACCATAATTGGTGAGCAATTCTGTGAGCCTGGCAAGCCAGAAAGCCTTTGAAATTGAGGAAGCAATGGACATAGCTTATGCAAGCTGGGTCTCGTTCTTTGACGGCTCTCAGATCATACTTCACAGCTCCCATGATTTCTTTGTTTTCAGTGAGGGTGGAAATGAAGAGATCGGTTAGGGTTCCGCTGGGAAGACTTGAACTGCACAATTTGAGGGAGAGATGATTCGCCAACGCCATTTCCAGAGATTGGTGAGATAGAATCGAAGCATGGTAATAGGGAGACAGAATCGGCTCTTGTTCCACATCTAACCTTGCTTCCTCCTGCATCTTGGCCCAGAGATTGTCATCATCATAATCATTATCCGCTTCTTCATCCCGCTGGTGAAGCTCCTCCGGCGACGTACGCGTATGTAAGTTATTGACGCCGTTCATGGACCCAGGGACGGCCGGAGAACGATCAGAGAAAGTGGGTCGGCAGAATTTCACATAGTTGCAGGAATGATGGATGGACTGGCCCCCGTTTGGGTTCCGAGAAAGTGGGTCGGATCCGTTTATACGCGCCGTCGAAGCGCCAACACAAGTAGCCATTGAAGGCGAGGAGTTGAGCTGTGGGGAGAGAAAGTGAACGAGAAGGAGCTGAGACAATTGGATTGGAATTGGAATTGAAATGGAAAGGGAAGTCTTGTTAGTATATAAGAAGGCGGAAGCAAGAAAACGGCGGGTGAAGAGAAGTTTCATGGCAGAATGTGGATTTTCCGGGACAAGCAATTTTAGTGGAGATGGCTGCATATAATGGAATTTTTTTTTCCCCCAAGAAGCATTTAATGGGATTTCCCAGAAGGAAAAGGCAGATAATGTTTGTGGCTGATTTATAAAGGGACCCCACATTGACGAAAAGGGACCATCGAAACAGATACGATTGCATTACAATTTACAATCGTTGTTATAAAAAAAAAAAAAAATTGAACAATTTTAGGGAAATTTACTGCTCAGGTCCATATGCAAGGACTCTAATTGTCGAAAGGTCCCATGAAATGGAAAATAATTTTAATTAAATAACATCTTGTTGGGTAATTACAGAAGGGAAAATGACATAAGAAAAAGTTGAAAATTGCAATTGGCACCTAAAATGTTAAAATCTTAGGGGAGAAAGTGGTGTTTAATTTGATATTTTATAAATATAATCAAATAACTAAAATATCTTTATTTCAGATTTTAAAAAAAAAACTACTCCTTCAATTCTAAATATAAAACTCATTTTGTAGTGTAAATTGGTCTTATATTTAGAATCGGCTTTTTTTAGGTCTTATATTTGATTATTGAATTATAATTATGGACCTTATTGCCATCACAATTTCCGTGTTTATCCACTTTCAAATCCTTTTCTTTTTTAGTCCTTTTTTTCACTTTTCTTTTTTACTTTTTGATGCTTATGTTTTCTAGTTCTCACTGCCATTCAACAATTTGTATGGCTCCAAATAATTTAGTTCTTCCTTTCCTCTTAGTTTTCATATTATTATCCGGTCAATTAACATCGTCAATTAAGATTAAAATTTACAATAAATTCATCCCTATATATGAAACTAAAAGGAAATGAAAACGCCAAATTGTTGGGACCTATACACATTGTCGAATGACAATGAACATTAGAAACATAAAAACCAAAAAGAAAGGAAAAAATAGAGAGGACAGAGCAAGAGAAAGGATGCCAAAGTAGATAAACACAAAGGCTATATATGATGATGATGATGAAAGTTCAAAATCGGAGTCCAGTAATCAAATATTTGGATCAAGCGCCACAACTCAATGAATATTACATAAAAGAGGAGATTTAAAATCCTAAAAGCCTAAACAAATGCGTAGACATGATAAAAGTTCCCAGCAATTACTAACAACCGTTAAACTTAGAAAATCACAGGAATGTGTTCTTTTAACTGCATACAAAACAAAGACGTAAAGAAAAGGGAGAAGGGTGGATGACAGGAAGGAAGGGAAGAACGTCGAGATACTACAATCCTTTTATCATATTTTAGGGGCCAGGAAATGGAAGCGATGGCGACGTACAAACAATTGAGAGAATGAGAGATGATTACCGGCCATTGATAATACAAAGTAGAAAACTAAATTTTAATTCAAAAAATCGAAGAGAAACATAAACATGTGAACTATTGTGGGATTGGTTTGCCTCATCATAATGGCCATTGCTACTTCGGCCCCCACCAAGGATGCCATATCTCCACACTATACACACCTCTGGGCCACCAATTTAATGTGCACCTTGTAATGCTTAGGGAGAGAGATTTTGAAGTTTGAGGACGAGGTAAGGAGGATGGAGGAAAAAAGAGACTATGGGTGTATTTGGGATGTTGTTGGGGGCCTAAACGTGTAACAAAAAGTAGTGTTTGACCCCGCGTTTTGACAATATGGATTTTTTGTTTCAAATGGACTTCTAAGATAAGCTGATTTTTTTTTTAAGCAGGCAGTGCGGTGGATAATACCGTTATGAGTATTAATTGCACTTTAAATTGTTTATCTACCTAACCCTCTCTTGCATGCACACACTACTAGGAAAAAGACATTTAATGTCACAAATAACGGCGGGCTGCTTATTAGTATGTAATATATTTAGTTTAAAAATACTAGATTTGTATGATTTCTAATTTATATATTTATCCATCAAATATATTTAATTAAGCATTTTATTGTTTTTCAATTTCTTCCTGATAAGAAATTAAGTTCCTTCATTTTTAATAATTTTATTTTCAATACTTCTTTTAAAATGGTCACATTATATACATATAATATCATATATTTATTACTTAAAAATTCATGTCTTTTTAAGTCATTTTGTATCTAAAATTACTTTTTTTTATTAATCATCCAAATAAGTTTTATTTTTTCAAACTGACTTTATCATAAAACTCAATTCAAACATGTATCACATTACACTATCTGACTTTTAAGTTACTTCTGCCATCAATTGGATTAGCGATTGGAAAAGTAGTTTATTGTCAATTTGACTTTTAAAAAAGTGAGGTTGGGCAAAAGTTAAATTAGGTTATACGAATTGTGGTTGGATTGAATGTTATAAAAGTTGATTTGTAAAAGTTAGATTGGGTAAAATGTTATTTGGATAAAAAAAATTTAAATTTAAATTTATAGTATTGTGACAAAGTTATGTGAAATAATATTACATCATTAATTAACTGATAAGTTATGGACAATTTGATTTCTGATTGTGTCACAAACACAATTCATGTAAATAGCTAAAAGCTAATTGGAAAGCACAAAAAAGATATAAAGAGAAGTATAAGAACAACATAAATATAAGAGCGAAAATGTCTTTTAATTTTAAAAAACTGTTTTTGTATAAGTTATAAGTAAGTTTTAGGTGTTTCTATATTTAATGAATAAATTATATTTAAAAAAATTGAAATATTATAAGAAATTATTTATGTAAATATAAAATGAAAAATAACTTTAACAAGTTAGACATTATTTATTGTAAAATATTTAAATTAAAATTATTCTTAATAAAAAGCATTAATTAAAGAGTTTGATTAATTTAGGAAATCTTATGATTCATAAGCAACACGATTATATGTGATAAAAAAATTAATTCTTAGGGAAAAAATAATATTTTAAATCAAATACTAATATATTATACTATAAAATAAGTATAAGAATAAATTTTATTAGATTCCTGTTTTCCTCTTTTTTTCAGTTTTATTTTCTCATGTTAGCCTGGCTTCCCCCCCCCCCCCAAAATTTTATAGTTTTATTTTAAATCGAATGCGGACGCCTCATTAATAAGCCATTTTGAGGATCACCTTGGCGGAAGAATTGTTAATTACATATTGACACCACATTGAGAGAGACGAAGAAAAGGTAGGAATATTAGTGAGTAGAGAGAACGATGAAGTGCTAATTGTAAGCCTATGATGGGAAGATTCTTCGCTGCTTCGCCTCCTAAGCCCTGCCAATAAGGAGCTTGAGGGGAAGGTTCTTGAAATTTGTCTTTTTTTTTTTTTTTTAAGTTTATTAAATTTCAAACTATATATTTTGATCTCTCAAACTTTTTTTTTTATTTAAAATATTAATCCCTATACCTTAATAGAAACCTAGACCATTTTGTCATTTGAAGAATCAAAACTCATGATTTGAAACTTGAGAGACCAAAATAAAAATAAGGAAAAATTTCAAAAATCAAAAATTATATTAACCCTAATCTTAAACATGAAATTATAAATTAACTTCAAATCGTAATCAAAATCCAATGTTGAAAGCTAGTACCATTACAGTTTTCAAATCCTTCCAAAAACCAATGTTTTTTTTTTTGCCATCTCCGAAAATCTAAAATGAGACCATAGTATCTGCAAAAGTCATAAAATCATCCTCCTAATTCCCGGACCAAAGAAGGATAAATAAGCCAAAAGAGTCATAACATGCTTAATATAATAAAAACCCTATTTGACCGTATACATTATGATCACATAAACAAACTAGAGGCACACTCATATTAGTTACACATATTGCAAAAAATTATGTACAATACCTAACTGCATCCATATGCATACACACGTTCATACATATAAAATATTAAACAACACAAACACCATAAATATGTATCATTCAATATATGATGTAATTATTTATTTATATCTTATTTATTAAATATTTTTAAAAATTACTGCTATTATCAAATATTTTTTATTTTATTTTCTTATTTTATTAAATTACTTAACGTTTATTTATAAAAAATATTGCTTTTACATAAAAATATAATTGATACAGTAATATTTATATTATATATTACATTATAATTCTAATTGTTACATCAATTATTATATTTTCTGTAGTTGCCGCAAAACTAAAACTTCTTGTCAATGATATCGATGCTATAAATTTTATAAAATGAGTTGGCAAAAAACTTTATTAATATGGTGTATGAATTATAAATTGTGGCAATTAAAACATTTAAAAGATTTTGCCAATAAAGCCCAGCATAATTGGTAAATAGCTGGATCTCTTAAACAAAATGTTCTAGGTTCAAATCAAACCATGTACATGAAAAATATTTTGTTGAAAAGGCAAAATCTTTGGTGATTTTTATGTCTTGGGAGGATTAGTCTTTGACTATTGGCTAGAAAATACCACCTGATTTCTATCCATAAAGAAAGAACTAAAGGACTCCGGTGGTGTTCAAAGAAAATATTCACATTGAGAATTGATATAGCTTCAAGCAAACAAATCATATCATTAGTCCCCAAAAAACGAAAAAATCATCTTTAATATATGAAATATAATAATACCAAGGGGAGGCAGGCGGGACCCGCATCATTTTTTTTTAATTCTTTTACACATACGCTTTTAAATTATCAAATTAAATTAAAAAAATTTTATAGACTAAATTCTAATCATTTTTATACTTTCACACAGTTGTATAATTAAATTAATCACAAAACTTGAAAATATAAATATATAATCTGTTTTAATAGTTATTTTATTAATATAGAAATGATAAAATAGTAAAAATTGAGAAATCAAACTTAACATCAAAGTTTTTAAATAAAATGTAAAACTATATTTAAATTGAATGAAAATATTAGTTTATTTCTATTAAATTTAAAATAAAAAACAGTAGAAAAAGAAAAAACAGGCTAAACCGTGGATTGACAGGTACAAATGAAAAAGATCTGCCTCAAAATGAGTTTGTATTTGGCTAACAGCTCAA